CGTGGGCACTATGTCTTTTACCAGATGTGCAACCCTTCCAGATGTGTGGGGCCCACTTTCCCTGCTGTGCCATGCCTGGCTCTTTTTCTCACCCAACAGAAGTGGGGGATCTGGGGGGCAGAGCTCCTCTGAGTTCTGTCCTTGGGCTGTAGTGCAGAAGGGAAGGGGTTAACTTGCCAGTAGGTGACTCACTCACCGGTGGGGAGAGGAGGGGGCAGTGGTGGGGAGATAGCGGGCCACATTGATTTCAGCCTCAATTCCTGCCTCACATTGCAGTCCCTGGGGCAGTGAGGTAATGGAGGGTCTGAGTCTGGGGCTGCATAGGAAGGAGGGGGCAGTCACCTAATAGTCCCTCTGGTAGCCCCTCCAGGCTCACAGCCAAGTGTCTGGCCCTGTAGTCTCTGGAGGTCAGAGGGCTACAGACCTTCCCTTCCCGTGTTGCCCGCTCAGGTTACCCCGTTTTTGCTCCCTCTCCATTTCTTCAGCTCTGTCAGTGGATGGGGAAGGTTAGGGAAAGGGCTTGTCTGCTCCTGTCGGCCGTCCAACCTGTGGAAGAGCCCAGTCTTGGTCCATCTGAGCCTGTGCAACCTTTACCTGCCCGTGTGACCCCAGTCCTGTGCCTTTACTAGGTATGGCCCCAGGGTCCCTCTTGGGTGATCTGAGGCCTCTGTGTCTGCCTGATGGGCCCCACATCCTTGCTTGTGTCTTTGTGTGAGCCCCCTCACCTTTCTGTGGTCCACGTGGCTCTGTATTATTGGCCTCTGTAGTTCCCTCCCTGGGTCCACCCTGAGGTTAGGCCTTGAGTAATGGAAACAGCACGCTTGAGTTGGAGCTCTGGGCTGGTACATCCTGACTGCATGATCTTGCCACAATTTATTCCATCTCTGAGGCTCATTTTCTCACCTGAACAATGGGTGTAATAAAGCATACCTCCCTAGGTGGCTGTGAGGATTCAATGAACCAGATAATACATACAAGCTCCCAGCACACAGCAGCCCCAGTAAGTGTTAGTTTCCTTTCTTCCTGGCCCTTTTTTTCTGGGAGGAGGAGGGGCAGTTAGGGGGTGGCTGGCAGAGTAGCGTGGTGAGGCCAGACATGGTGTGCTCTGTGGTACCCTGCCTTATGCTACTAGGAAGAGGGTCCAGAGTGGCAGATGAGTGTCAGGGTGGGTGGCTGAATGATGTCGACGGCCACTGGGTTCTGTATACCTGATGGGCCTGGGTACCGAAGCAGGTAGTGCCTATTAGGATAGGTTTATATAGAGGGTGGGGTCGGTATGATGGTGTCCGTGAAAACTGTGTGCACTGGGGATAGAAGGCGCTTTGTGAGTGTTAGGAAGGCTGTGTGTATGTGACAGAGGAGTGTGTGGTTGTGTGGGAGGGGTGTGGAGTGTGTGTAGTGGACAAGCAGGGCTATGCTGAGTTCCTCCTGCTTGACATGTCTGTTTGCATGATTCCTGTGGGCTGGTGGGGGTGCGATGAGGATGCGGGTTGTCGAGGCATGTGTGACAAGGCATGGATGAGATGGGTGATGTGAACAGGATGGGAGAGTGTGCACGATGGTGGGTGGGGAGCGATGGACCGTGAGCGTGTGAGGTTGTACATCTGTGAGAGCAGGTGTGTGAGGTGTTAATTCGTGTGTGACTGTGGGTGTAAGACAGAGGGCATATGTGCCCGTGGGGTGTGTAGGAGATAATGGGTGTGGCACGAAAGTGTGTCTGTGTATGTCTGTGAGGAGTGTGAGTGTGAGTAGGTGAGGGCTCAGGGATGCCTCGCCCAGCCCTACGCGCAGTTTGTCTGCCTAGCGGGGCCAGGCGGGCGTGCGGGAGGCGGGCCGAACCGCGCGTGAGCGTTTTCCTCGCGCAGACTGGACTTACACGGTACCACGCAAAACCCCAGGACCTCCGCAGCGCAGCGCCCCGAACCGGCCCCCTGGCTCGGTGCCTTTACTGCAGTGCGCCCTCCCAGCCACCCTCCTACCGCGGCCCCGCCCCCGGCCGGCTCGGGGCCAACCGGAGCCCGCCCCGCCCCGACCTTATTTGCATATGACTGACGTTCCCCCGGGGCGGCCAATGGGGGCGGGCGCGGCGGGGCCTGACCCGCGCGCGGCGGCGGCAGCCAATGGGCTCACGCGCGGGGGGCCGGGCTTGCGCGGAAGGCCGCGGGGGAAGCGGGGAAGGGGCGGGGGGAGGCGCGGCGGGGGGAGGGGAGCGCGTAGTAGTGGCGGGGCGGGGAGGCGGCGGTGGTTCGGCGCGGGGGGGGGGGGGGGGGGGAGCGCGTAGTAGTGGCGGGGCGGGGAGGCGGCGGTGGTTCGGCGCGGGGCTCGCTCGGAGCGCACGGACGCACGCACGCTGGTCCGTCTGCTCGCCCGGGGCCGGAGGTCGACCCGGCGCTGAGCCTCGGGCCCGGGGCCCGGAAAGGCGGGGCGGCGGCGCTGGCAGCCGGGGCGCGCGGGGCCAGAGCCGTTACCCGCCGGAGCTGCGAGGGAGGGAGGGAGCGAGCGAGCTAGCGAGCGGGGCAGGGAGGGGGCCGCCCCCGCGCACGCGCGCCGCGCCCCGCCCCGCCTGCCCCGCCCGCCGGACTCCGCGAGGGAGGAGGGAGAGGGAGGGGGCGGCGCCGATGGCCCCCGTGCCGCGCGCCCCGTGACGGCCCCCGCGCGCGCCGGGGGGCGGGGCGGGGCCGGTGCGCGCTGACCTCCCCCGCCCCCTCGGCGGCGGGAGGCAAGCGGGCGCTGTGCGCAGGCGCGCCCGGCGGAGACCCCCGTGTGGGGCGGCCGGAGGGGGGCGGCGGGGGGGGGGCATGCGGCGACGGCCTCCCGCTCCCCCCGGGCCCAAGCGGCGACGGCCGAGGAACGGGCTACGGGTGGAGCGGCGTCGGCCGCTGAGGAGGTGCGAGCCCCTGCCTGGCCCCCCCTGCGCCGGACCATGTATTCGGCCCACAGGCCCCTGATGCCCGCGTCCAGCGCGGCCTCCCGTGGCCTCGGCATGTTCGGTCAGTAGCGCCTGGGCCCTGGGACTGCAGGGGTCAAGGTGTCGGGGTGCTAAGTGCGGAGTAACGGTGATGGGGGCATAGTACGGGAGAGAACAGTAGAGGCAGAGTAAAGGGATGACGGGGAAAGTTATAGAGCTCGGCTGGGCCGAGTGGTTAGTGACGGCAGGTGGGAGTGTAGCGGAATGGGGCGTACCTGGGGACAGCTGTGATGCTGAAGTGATGGGATGGCACGGGTTTGCTGTAATAGAAAGGTGAGGGGTGCAGAGTAACCGGCTCTGGAGCATCGGATAGAATAGGAACAGCACGAGAACTGCTGGTCCTAGGGGAGGAGGCTTGGACTGGGTAGTGGGGCTAAGGACAGGTCTCAGGAAGCGAGGGAGGCACTGTTTGCTGAGATCAGAGTGACGGGCTGCAGTGTGTGTGGTGTACTTTGCAGAGAGCGAAGACAGCTAAGAACCTGGAGGGTTGTGCACTGGGAAGGGGTTCAGGAGGGAGCAGGACCGTAGGACTGCCCTCCATTGTCTGCTGGGTCCCTTTTCCCCACCCCCCAGAAAAAAGGAGGCCCTGATGGGAAAGATCTTTGCAAAGAGAGGAACAGGTCTTAAGTCCCTGGAGGCTTTTATATGGGGTTGGGGGCCCCAATGGGTTTTTGAGCCCCCAGAACCCCAGGGTTAAGGGATAGGGTCATTGTAGAGTCTAGGGTGCTTTCCAGTGCTGTCTTCGTGATTCTAGTCCCTTGTTTCCTCAGGTCTACTTTTTCCTTTGTCAGCCCCTCACAGAATCAGGTCTCGAGGCCAGTGCCTTGCACAGAGCTACCCCCGTCCAGGCTTCTGTAGGCATGGGGAGGTCACCTCAGGTCAGGCTGATCTGGATCAAGGGGAGGCCTGGAATGATGGAGAGCAGGGCTAGGGCGGTTCCCTCCTCCCTTCTTCGTCTTCCCCGAGCAGGGGCCTCTCTCCTCTGCTGGTTCCACTTCCCCCAGGGAGCCAGGCAGTTCTAGGGGAAGCCCACTCATATCCTAGGCCCGCCTCAAAAGTCCAGCCAGGGGTGGGTCCCAGCCCAGGGCTTGCTCTTCCACCACCCACCTCTTGGGGCTGACCCCTGGGACCAGCCTCCTGGCGAGGAAGCATCTTCCTGTGCATGTCCTCAAGGAAACACCTGGCACTTGTGCCCGCTCTGGTTAGAGACTTGTAACAATTCTCTCCTGTGGCCCATTGTCCACGTTTTTTCTTCCAAGGAGTTTACCACACCCTCCCTTGTTTTGGGAAAAGAGGGCTGGACACTGGACTACAGATAAGCCGAGGGGCTGATGGGGAGGGAGGCTGGGAGGCCGATTTGTGGATGGTGCATTCTCTCTGTGGGGTGGAAAGGGGAGAGCTGCTGGAGCCACCTGTGCCCAGCCAGGAAGGCCAGGTCTGGCACTCTGTGTTTGTGGTGGGGGAGGAAGGCAAGGAGAGGGACCACTCCCACACCACAGTTGTAAGAGCGCCCACAGCCTGTGGGTAGTGGACTGAGAGTTGGAGGGGAGGGGACATGGGGCCATATGCCTCAGGAAAGGGAAAGGGAGTGTGAGACCAAGGTGAAAGGCTGTGTCAGGTGGTGACTGGGCTGCTGGGAATGTGGCATGACGGGGGTGGGGGGTCCCAGGCCATAGAGGTCTGGGGCCTTGGGAGTGTGGGATGGCAGCCGAGCATGACCTGGTTTGTGGCAGGAGCAAATCGTTCCTCTGGCCTGGTCCCTGGTGGCAGGGCTGGTAGAGATTGGTGGGGGGAGGAGTGGGGCATGAGTACTATTTCCCTTCCCCGCTTCTGTTTTCTTTTTTATAAATCTAGAAACCTTTCAGGGAGGAGTTTTTCCTGAGTGACGTTGCATGGACGAGTCCAAGAGGCTCTGGTGTGGGGTGGGGGTAGACAAAGGGGTGGGGCCACCTCATCTAGGGTGGGGAAGAGCTTAAGTTGGGGCTGGGGCCAGGCTCTCCTGCTGCACAGCTCACCTGGCTTCTTTCCACAGTGTGGACGAATGTGGAACCTCGCTCTGTGGCCGTGTTCCCCTGGCACTCCTTAGTCCCCTTCTTGGCACCCAGCCAGCCTGACCCCTCCGTGCAGCCGAGTGAGGCCCAGCAACCTGCCAGCCACCCAGTGGCCTCCAACCAGAGCAAAGGTGAGGGCTGGGGAGCCTGGAGACAGGCATGGGCATGGGGTCCAGGTGGCCCAGGAGCCCTCTGATCTACCTCTCTGTCCCCAGAACCTGCTGAATCGGCAGCTGTTGCTCATGAGCGGCCACCAGGTGGGACAGGGAGTGCTGACCCTGGGCGGCCCCCTGGAGCCACATGCCCTGAGAGCCCAGGGCCCGGACCCCCACATCCTTTGGGGGTGGTGGAACCTGGTAAGGGTCTGCCTCCCACCACAGAAGAGGAGGCTCCCGGCCCCCCAGGAGAGTCCCGGCTGGACAGTGAGACAGAGAGTGACCATGATGATGCGTGAGTTCCCTGAGGCCTGGGACTTGGGGGTGGGTTGGCCAGAGACATGGCCCTCACTGTCCCTGCTGCCCTGCTGCAGCTTCCTCTCCATCATGTCTCCTGAGATCCAGTTGCCTCTTCCGCCCGGAAAACGTCGGACCCAGTCCCTCAGTGCCCTACCCAAGGAACGAGACTCATCTTCTGAGAAGGATGGACGCAGCCCCAACAAGGTGCTTCATCCCTACCTGTCTCCTGCTCACCCTGTGGCCACCCACACCTGGTCCTAACTGTCCCGCTCTGGGCTGTGTTTAATGCAGCGAGAGAAAGACCACATCCGGCGGCCCATGAATGCCTTCATGATCTTCAGCAAGCGGCACCGGGCCCTGGTCCACCAGCGTCATCCCAACCAGGACAACCGGACTGTCAGCAAGATCCTGGGCGAGTGGTGGTATGCCCTGGGGCCCAAGGAGAAGCAGAAGTACCACGACCTGGCCTTTCAGGTAACGCTGCCGTCTCTTGGCTCCTCCCAGCTTCTTCTGGTGGGGTGGGTGAGTGAAGGGTCGCCCTGCCCTCTCCTGCTAGGTGAAGGAGGCCCACTTCAAGGCCCACCCAGATTGGAAGTGGTGCAACAAGGACCGAAAGAAGTCCAGCTCGGAGGCCAAGCCCACGAGCCTGGGGCTGGCAGGAGGGCACAAGGAGACGCGGGAGCGAAGCATGTCGGAGACGGGCACTGCCGCTGCCCCTGGGGGTTAGTCAGCCCCTTGGGTCTCTCACCCTGCCCACCTCCCTCCCTGAGAGCCGCCAGCTACCCCCTTGCTTGCTCATCCCTTGCCCCAGCAGCTCCTCTCTGCTCAGTCGCTTTTATTTGGCGACCCTTACCCATAAAGGAACCAGCAGTTGATTTATGTGAAGGAGCCAGGGAGATCCAGGCAGATAAGATTCCCAAACAGCAGTCTCATTATTAGCTGTTGTTTATTGAGCGTTTAGTATGTGCCAGGCGCCACAGGGAATATAAGCTGTAGTCTGCAAAACCATGTTCTATTTCCAGATGAGGAAACAGGTTCAGAGGGACAAAGTAACTTGCTTAAAGCTTAAGCAAGCGACAGGGCCAGAATGTAAACCCCAGCTTGGCTGGCTCCCAACTTCGTAGTTGGAACCACTGCAGCTTCCAAACGCCCCTGATGGGCTGCTTACACTTACTTATTGAGGGTGTCTGGTGTGTCTGGTGTGCCTGGCAGTGTTCTGGGGCACATTTTTGGAGTGAGCCCATGGAAATTGCAATTCTACGAGGATAGGTGGATAGTTCTTGTGGAACTGAAGTTCTGTGAGGGTGGGGACGCTAGTTACTTCCTCTCTGAGATGAGGGAGCCGAGGCTCAGACAGGCCAGCAGTTGGCTAGCCAGCACCACGTGAACCTCTCTCCAGGCCTCCTTACTTTGAGGAGGGCTGCCCTGCAGGGAATGGGCCTGCTGCAACCCCAGAGGGCAGGAAGCAGCAGGAAGGAGATGCTGGGCTGGTGGTGGTGGGTGGTGTTTTTTTCACCAAGTGGCCCAGAAATTCCAACCTGCTTCTGCCCAGTATCTAGAAATATCTGTGGGTTGTTGGGCCTTGGTGCTGGTGAGAGGCTTCCTGACTGTCATAGTGCCCCCCTCCACTTTACAGTGTCCTCTGAGCTTCTGTCTGTCGCGGCCCAGACACTCCTGAGCTCGGACCCCAAGGCTCCAGGGAGTAGCTCCTGTGGGACAGAACGGCTGCACACAGTTGGGGGACCTGGCTCAGCCCGGCCCCGAGCCTTCTCCCACAGTGGAGTACACAGTCTGGACGGTGGAGAAGTAGACAGTCAGGCACTACAGGAACTGACGCAGGTCTGGGGTGCAGGCGCCCTGGGGGGTGGGCAGGGAGGCTGTCCAAGGCAGCAGCCCAGCTGAACCTTTCCTTCTGCCTGCCTGCAGATGGTGTCTGGCCCTGCATCGTACTCTGGTCCAAAGCCTTCTACCCAGTATGGAGCTCCAGGCCCCTTTGCAGCCCCCGGTGAGGGAGGTGCCTTGGCAGCCACTGGACGGCCCCCACTGCTGCCCACTCGAGCTTCTCGTTCCCAGCGTGCGGCCAGTGAGGACATGACGAGTGATGAGGAGCGCATGGTCATCTGTGAGGAGGAAGGAGATGATGACGTCATCGGTGAGCATTGCAGGGCCCAGAATCTTGCCCAGGACCCAGCAGGCCAAGACTCAGAGGGTGGGCAGAACTTGGATCCAGGCCCCTAGGCCCCTTTGGTTTCTTTTCTACTTGGTTTATGGTTGCGTGTGGCCAGTTCAGGCCCTTCTGTGTAAACCCAGCTCTGCCCTCAGGAAGCCCCCAGCCCTGCAGGAAACCTGGAGAACATGGGCATGACCAGATCTTTAGGTGCAGTGTTAGGGGCTCTTTCCTGTGGGCTCATAGGCTCCTGTGCTGAGCACATGGGCACAGCCCTGGACTGAGGAGTAGCCTTCCTGGACAGCAGTCCCTGCCTGCTCGGGGCAGAGCTGAGATCGAGGCTCCAGACTGGCCTCCTGGGTTCCCTTACCTTTAGTCCCCTGCTCATTCTGTTCCCTCCATTCTCCCAGCTGACGATGGCTTCGGCACCACTGACATTGATCTCAAGTGTAAGGAGCAGGTGACCGACAGCGAGAGTGGGGACAGCTCTGGGGAGGACCCAGAAGGCAACAAGGTGAGGACTTGGGTCACGGTGCTGTCCCATCACACTCCCTCCTAGGCCACGGGAAAGTCTGTTCCTCCCAGGTATTTGAGAGAGGGGGACATTAAGGTCCAGAGAGGGCAAGCTGCTTGCCCCATGGGGAGTTGGGTCATAGCCAGGATGAATTGAGGCCTTCAGCTGGCAGGAGTGCAGCTCTAGGCTGGCCTGCTGACAGGCTGGATGGACATAGCTAGGGGGCTGCTGTCTAGGTGCTGGCATGTCCTGACCTGGAGTGTCTTTTCCTTCGCTCAGGGCTTTGGTCGGAAGGTGTTTTCACCTGTGATCCGTTCCTCCTTTACCCATTGCCGCCCCTCGCTGGACCCTGAGCCCCCAGGGCCCCCGGATCCTCCTGCAGCTTTTGGCAAAGGCTATGGTTCTACCCCGTCTTCCTCCTCTGCGTCCTCGCCCGCTTCTTCCTCAGCTTCGGCAGCCACCTCCTTCACATTGGGCTCAGGAACCTTCAAGGCCCAGGAGTCTGGTCAGGGCAGCACAGCAGGTTCCCTGCGGCCCCCGCCCCCTGGGGCTGCGGGCCCAGGGACACCTTCCAAGGCGACCCGGTTCCTCCCAACGGATCCTGTCACCTACCGGCGCAAGAGACCTGAAAGTGTGGGTGGCCTGGAGCCACCAGGCCCCTCTGTCATCGCGGCCCCTCCCAGCGGAGGAGGAAGCATTCTGCAGACACTGGTGCTGCCCCCAAACAAGGAGGAGCAAGAGGGTGGCGGAGCCAGAGTGCCCTCTGCCCCCGCCCCATCACTGGCCTACGGGGCCCCAGCAGCTCCCCTGTCCCGTCCTGCCGCCACCATGGTCACCAACGTGGTACGGCCTGTCAGCAGCACTCCTGTGCCCATCGCCTCTAAGCCTTTCCCCACCTCTGGCCGGGCTGAGGCATCTCCAAATGACACAGCAGGTGCCAGGACTGAAATGGGCACTGGGTCTCGGGTGCCTGGGGGCTCCCCGCTGGGTGTCAGCTTAGTGTATTCGGACAAGAAGTCGGCAGCAGCCACCTCACCAGCCCCACATTTGGTGGCTGGACCCCTGTTGGGCACTGTGGGGAAGGCGCCTGCCACTGTCACAAACCTACTGGTGGGCACCCCGGGGTATGGGGCCCCTGTGCCCCCTGCTGTCCAGTTCATTGCCCAGGGGGCCCCTGGCGGTGGGACCACTGCAGGCTCAGGAGCAGGTGCTGGGAGTGGCCCCAATGGGCCAGTACCCCTGGGCATTCTGCAACCAGGTGCCCTGAGCAAGGCTGGGGGAATCACCCAGGTGCAGTACATCCTGCCCACGATGCCACAGCAGCTTCAAGTGGCACCTGCCCCAGCACCAGCCCCTGGGACCAAGGCAGCAGCTCCCAGCGGCCCTGCACCCACCACCAGCATCCGTTTCACCCTCCCACCGGGCACTTCCACCAACGGCAAAGTCCTGGCTGCCACTGCACCCACTCCTGGCATCCCCATCCTGCAGTCGGTACCCTCCGCCCCACCCCCCAAAGGTGAGACCTGGGCCGGGCAGCACTAGGAGAGGGGCCAAAGTCTCATTTGGTTCCCTTGTAATCTTTTCCTTTCTTGCCTTTTAACTTCCAGCCCAGTCAGTTTCTCCAGTGCAGGCACCGCCCCCAGGTGGCTCAGCCCAGCTGCTTCCCGGGAAGGTCCTAGTGCCCCTGGCTGCCCCTAGCATGTCAGTTCGGGGTGGAGGGGCCGGCCAGCCGCTGCCCCTGGTGAGCCCGCCCTTCTCAGTACCTGTGCAGAATGGCGCCCAGCCACCCAGCAAGGTGAGGCCCTGCCTCTTTCTCTGCCTTCTGTTGGGTGTTAGTCCCTGGACCCCACCATTTCTTTGTCTTGTCTTTCTTTTATTCTTTTGTGTCTGTCTCTGGTTTTCTGTCTTGTCCTCGTCTATGATGTCTCTGTGCATCCCAACTCTCGAGTCCTCAGTGTCTGTACCCTACTTCTCTGTGTCCTCATCTCTCACTGTCATCTTGCCCATCCTGTTTTTATCCCAAGTTCTGTGTTCCCTGCTTTTGCTTAGAGCCCCCCTCTAGGTCTTGGTCCTCCCCTCCCCAGTCTGGGGCCACAGCTCACTCTGGCACATGGGTGCCCTTCCCCACAGATCATCCAGCTGACCCCGGTGCCTGTGAGCACACCCAGCGGCCTGGTGCCGCCCCTGAGCCCAGCCACACTCCCTGGACCCACCTCACAGCCCCAGAAGGTCCTGCTGCCCTCTTCCACCAGGTAATTGCAGCTGACCCCACATTCAAAGGCTAAGGAAGGGGTGGGACGGGGCTGGCTTACCTCACTCCTCCCCATTTCCTCTCCCTGTGGCAGAATCACCTATGTGCAGTCAGCGGGCGGGCATGCGCTGCCTTTGGGTACCAGCCCTGCGTCCAGCCAGGCTGGAACAGTCACCTCGTATGGGCCCACGAGCTCTGTAGCTCTAGGCTTCACCTCGTTGGGGCCCAGCGGCCCCGCCTTCGTGCAGCCCCTGCTCTCAGGTGAGGGGCGGCGTGGCAGGCAGTGCTGGGGACCCAGGGTGGGGCTGAGGCAGTCCGGGCCCTAACTTGGTCCCCTGCTTCTCCTTCTCTGTCTCTGAGCAGGCCAAGCCCCACTGCTGGCTCCTGGTCAGGTGGGCGTGTCGCCTGTGCCCAGTCCCCAGCTGCCACCTGCCTGTGCAGCCCCTGGAGGTCCTGTCATCACGGCGTTTTACTCTGGCAGCCCTGTACCCACCTCCTCAGCACCCCTGGCCCAGCCATCCCAGGCCCCCCCAAGCCTGGTCTACACTGTGGCCACCAGCACAACTCCACCTGCAGCCACCATTCTGCCCAAGGGGCCGCCGGCCCCTGCCACTGCCACCCCGGCCCCAACTAGCCCTTTCCCGAGTGCCACAGGTAGGTGTCAGATCAACTCACAGCAGGGTGAGTTGGGGGGCCCAGCAGATGGGCTCCAGTCGGGTCTGGCTCAGCAAACGCTTTTCTCCCTACTAGCAGGTTCCATGACCTACAGCTTAGTGGCCCCCAAGGCCCAGCGGCCCAGCCCAAAGGCCCCCCAGAAAGTGAAGGCGGCCATTGCCAGCATTCCTGTGGGGTCCTTTGAGGCAGGTGCCTCTGGCCGGCCTGGCCCTGCACCCCGGCAGCCTCTGGAGCCTGGCCCAGTCCGAGAGCCAACTGCCCCAGAGTCTGAGCTTGAGGGGCAGCCCACACCACCAGCCCCTCCACCTCCGCCAGAGACCTGGACTCCCACAGCCCGGAGCAGCCCCCCACCGCCCCTGCCTGCTGAGGAGCGGACCTGCGCCAAGGGTCCTGAAACCATGGTGAGCACCTGCAGGCTGTGGGGTCGCTACTGGCACTCAGCTGTGCCCCTCCATGGGTGTCTTTGGTTTTCTGTCCTGCTCCTCTTCTCTCCATGCCTATGTGTTTCTCAGGTTAAAGGGTTCCCTCTGTCCCTTCTACCTGCCTGTATTGGCTCCCCTCTGATCTGAGGCCCTGTCTTGGTGTTCTCGAGGCTGTGTGACTGGGCCTTCTTGAGGGGTCTGCCGGTCAGTTTCAGATTCAACTCTTTGTTTCTGGCCTTTGCCCCAGAGTCTGAGCCCTGTGTTCTTCATCTCCCTACCCATCTCCACGCCAGGCCAGCAAATTCCCCAGCTCATCTTCAGATTGGCGCGTCCCTGGACAGGGCCTGGAGAGTCGTGGGGAGCCTCCCACCCCTCCCAGCCCAGCTCCAGCTCCAGCCGTAGCTCCTGGTGGCAGCAGCGAGGGCAGTAGTGGGCGGGCGGCCGGGGACACCCCCGAGCGCAAGGAGGCAGCTAGTGCTGGCAAGAAGGTGAAGGTGCGGCCCCCGCCCCTGAAGAAGACCTTTGACTCTGTGGACAAGTGAGCCTGGGCTGGGGCCTTGGTGAGGTGTGTGGGGTGGTGGGAGTGGGAGCACCTGCAGGCTGAGGCGGGGGAGGTGACCCTGCTGGCCCTCCAGCAGGGTCCTGTCAGAAGTGGACTTTGAAGAGCGCTTTGCAGAGCTGCCTGAGTTTCGGCCTGAGGAGGTGCTGCCCTCCCCTACCCTGCAGTCTCTGGCCACCTCACCCCGGGCCATCCTGGGCTCTTACCGCAAGAAGAGGAAGAATTCCACGGGTAGGCGAGCGTTCAGCATCCAGGGTCCGTAGGTGGAGGGCAGACTAGGGCCACCTGCGCTGAGCCTGCTTCTGTTTGGCCAGACCTGGATTCAGCACCCGAGGACCCCACCTCACCCAAGCGCAAGATGAGGAGACGCTCCAGCTGCAGCTCGGAGCCCAACACCCCCAAGAGTGCCAAGTGCGAGGGGGACATCTTCACCTTTGACCGTACAGGTGCCGTGGTGGGCAGAGCTGTGGGGTGCCCAGAGCCTGCAAGAGGAGTGGGTCTCTGGGAGGTAGTTAGAGGGAGAGGTGGGGTGGGTGTCAGAGGCAGGATAGCAGGTCAGGGTTCTGGAGTCTGGCAGGCCCCCGAGTTGCCCTGTGACTGTGGGTGGAACCCCTCTCTCACTCCTCTGTGAAATAGAATGCAGTGAGGGCTCAGGTGGGTACTCAGACGGTGGCAAGACTGCTGTAGCCTTGCCATGCTGCCTGTGCCTGCGCAGGTACAGAAGCTGAGGACGTGCTGGGGGAGCTGGAGTATGAGAAGGTGCCATACTCTTCCTTGCGGCGCACCCTGGACCAGCGCCGGGCCCTGGTCATGCAGCTCTTCCAGGACCATGGCTTCTTCCCATCAGGTGAGCATGTCTTAGAGTCTTGAGGTCACTCGGGTCGGACCTGTCTGCACATCTCACCCTGCGCTCCCCATCGTTTTTCTGCCTCCAGCCCAGGCCACAGCCGCCTTCCAAGCCCGCTATGCAGACATCTTCCCCTCCAAGGTTTGTCTGCAGTTGAAGATCCGTGAGGTACGCCAGAAGATCATGCAGGCAGCCACTCCCACGGAGCAGCCCCCTGGAGCTGAGGCCCCCCTCCCTGGACCACCCCCCACTGGCACCGCTGCTGCCCCTGCCCCCACTCCCAGCCCCGCTGGGGGCCCTGACCCCACCTCGCCCAGCTCGGACTCTGGCACGGCCCAGGCTGCCCCACCACTGCCTCCGCCACCAGAGTCAGGGCCTGGCCAGCCTGGCTGGGAGGGGGCTCCACAGCCCTCCCCCCCACCCCCAGGTCCCTCCACAGCTGCCACAGGCAGGTGAGAGACCCCTGAGAGGATCCCAGGACTCACAGTACCCCCTCAGGACATGGACAGTATGTGGGGGCAGGAATGGGGGGCAGGATGGTTATCTCCTCCCAAGTAAAGCCATTTCGTCCTCTCCAGTTTGGGGCGGAATGAGGCCTGCTCCTCTTGTATATACCCCCTTCCTCCGCAGCTTCCTCCCGATGCTGGGGGGCAGCTGAGGGGGCCGCAGGGGCAGTCTCCCTCCTCTGAGCCCCTGTACATAACCTGGAGTGTGTGACCTTCAGAGCTTTTCACTTTATGCAAAATAGCTCCTGCCAGGGCTGCCAGCTGGAGGGTGGTGTCGGCCTTGGGCCACAGGGAGGCGCCTGTGGAATAGGGGGGAGTTCACGCACCCCTTTTTTCCCCAGAGGGGCTGGACTCAGGTTAGTTTGGGGGTGGGGGCTCCTGCACTTTGCCACAGGCATGGGGAGGGTTTTCTCCTCACCCCCTCTGCCCTCCCAACTTGGGTTGTACTTTCTAAGAAGGTGATTCCCCCTGCCTTTGCCCCCTTTCCCAGAACAAAACATGTTGATCATGTGCAATATTTCTTACTGTGCCGAGAAGCCGCGATGAGCGAGATTAAAGCTGTTTAACACACCTGTGTGGCTTTGGGCTCTTAACGGGGAGGTTGTACTGGCCCTGTTCTCAGTTGTCATGGAGCTGTAGACTTTCCATGAGGTCTGGGGAGTAATTCCAGGACCACTGCCTCCAACATCAGAGGGACCCCACGGGCTAGGTCCCTGACTTGTGGACCAGGCAGTCCCTCTTCCAGTTTAGGAGCCCGTGTGCTCAGGGAGCCTCAATGCTTTTGGGCCCTGTTCTCAGCCATTGGACTGCATGAGCTTGGGAAGGCTTGAGGCAAGATGCCACCAGATGGTTTACCCTCACTGTCTCTGATGTCATTTGTATTCAGGAAACAGGCCCCAAAAGGTCCCAGTCCAGAGGTGGCAGTGGGTAAGAGGAGACAAGGGTCTTCCACGTGACCCCTGCTGCCCCCATGTGGCCTGGGTCAGCACTGCAATGGCTTGAAGCAGCCTCCCCTGGGTGACACCCCTCCCACTCAGCATGTGGACACAGTGCCCACGTGAGGTGACAGATACCCACACTGTGTGGAAGGATGATAACTAAGGGTGGGAAGGTCAGGATACCTCTGCAGAAGTGGTATCAAAGCTACACCTGGAGCACCAGGAATTTCCAGTCGGGGCAACAGTATATGCAGAGATGGAGGAGGGGCAGGGTAGGGTGGGCTTCACTGTACTGGGTCACTATGCTCTCAGAATTCTTGCTTGACCTTGGTCCTGTAGGGTAGTGCTGGCAAGCTGGTCTTACCTAGGGTTGACAGGTAGCACCTGCCTGAAACATTCTATTGTAATAGTGAAAACTAACCTAACCACAAGAACAGTGTCTTGGATGTATCAGTGACGCCTGCACTGGGCAGAAATAGAACCACAGCCAGGCATAGTGGCTCATGTCTGTAATCTTAGCATGCTGGGAGGCCGAGGCAGGTGGATTGCTTCAGCTCAGGAGTCAGACCAGCTTGGGCAACAGGGCAAAATGCCATCTCTCCAAAGAAATACAACTAGCTGGATGCAGTGGCCCACACCTGTAATCCCAGGTATTCAGGGGGCTGAGGTGGGTGGATCGCTTGAGCCTAGGAGGTTGAGGCTGCAGTGGGCCGTGGTCTCACCACTGTACTCCAGCCTGGGTGACAGAGACCCTGTCTTAAAAAACACCACCTTGTGGTATTGCAGGGTCACGGATCAGGGTAAGGACTGGTGGTGGTACCCAGACAGGCTTGACCATAAAGCAGGAAACGGCAGACAGAGAAAGGAGAGTTTAATGTGGGAAGGCAGCAGGATGCTTAGGGTGTGGGCTCTGACAGGGGAGCACCTTGGCCCTGGTCTTGGGCCAGCAGACGCAGAAGCAGGGAGTGCAGGGTCCGGCAGACAGGTGTGTAGCCCAGGCGGCTGAGATGCAGGTAATCATACATGTCATGGTGGCTGATGGTACCATCTGAGTGCACAAAGCCAGGGTCGGCATCTAAGAAGTGGGCCCGAGGGTGGCCAGCCAGTGCTGCCCGTACCAGCTCATTCACCCGTCGGTTCTTGTCCCGAAGTGGGTTGGGATGCTGGCCTCGTGGAAGCAGGCCCTGAGCAGGAACACCAGGAGTAGTAGTAAGGAAATGAGCATTTGGGTATCCTGTTTTCTATGCCAACCTGTCCTCTACCCCCAACCATGAAGTTTCCAGCTGCAGCAAACACTAGGGATAGGCAAGTGGGTAGGGTGGAAGGGTAGTTCCTAAATATCATATCCTAGCCCCAATTCAGCAAGAGACTTCTGGGTTTAGCCTCTTTCCAAGTATCACTTAGAAAAACGTTGACACTGGCCGGGTACAGTGGCTTGCACCTGTAATCCCAGCATGATGGGAGGCAGGGCTGGATGGATCACTTGAGCCCAGGAGTTCTAGACCAACCTGGGCAACATGGTGAAATCCCATCCGTAACAAAAATATACAAAAATTAGCTAGACATGATATCATGTACCTGTAGTCATAGCTACTTGGAAGGGTACGGCTCACCACACTTGAGCCTTGGAAGCAGAGGTTGTAATGAGCTGAGATCATGCCACTGCACTCCAGCCTGGGTAACAGAGCCAGATCCTGTCTCAAATAAATAAATAGGCCAGGTGCGGTGGCTCATGCCTATATCCCAGCACTTTGAGAGGCTGAGGCAGGTGGATCACATGAGGTCAGGAGTTTGAGACCAGCCTGGCCAACATGGTAAACTCCCATCTCTACTAAAACTACAAAGATTAGCCGGGCATGGTGGAGCGTGCCTGCAGTCCCCGCTACTCAGGAGGCTGGGGCAGGAGAATCACTTGAATCCAGGAGGAGGCGGTTACAGTGAGCCAAGATCACACCACTACACTCTCATCTGGGCAACAGAGCGAGACTGTCTCACAAAAATAAAAAAAAAAACATCAACATCATGGCTCATGGCAAGGGGTCAATCCCCTCTTTCAGAAGAGGAAGTGTCCTAGCTACCTAGAAATGATGGAGCCTAGATTTACCAAAGAATGCCTGACAACTTTTGACATACTCGAAGAGGTTTTTGGAGGATTTTTCTTTGTTTTCTGATGAGACAGGGTCTCACTCTGTCACCCAGGCTGGAGTGCGGTGGCATAATCACAGTTCACCGTAACACTGAATTCCTGGGCTCAAGTATGATCCTCCCCCTTCATACTCCCAAGTATCTGGGATTACAGGTTTTTCGAACCATCATGCCCAGCTAATTTTTTTTTTTTTTTTTTTTTTGAGACACTTTCGCTCTTGTTGTCCAGGCTGGAGTGCAATGATCTCGGCTCACTGCAACCTCCGCCTCCCGGGTTCAAGTGATTCTCCTGCCTCAGCCTCCCAAGGAGCTGGGATTACAGGCATGCGCCACCATACCTGGCTTATTTTGTATCTTTAGTAGAGACAGGGTTTTTCCATGTTCGCCAGGTTGATCTCGAACTCCCGACCTCAGGTGATCTGACCGCCTTGGCATCCCAAAGTGCTGTGATTACAGGCGCCTGCCACCACGCCTGGCTAATTTTTGTATTTTCAGTAGAGACAGGGTTTCAACATCTTGGCCAGACTAGTCTTGAACTCCTGACCTCATAATCCACCCGCTTCGGCCTCCCAAAGTGCTGGGATTACAGGCTTGAGCCACCATGCCTGGCCTGCCCAGCTAATTTTTAACTATTTTTAGTAGAGACATTGTCTTGCTGTATCCCAGGCTGGTCCTGAACTCCTGGGCTCAAGCAATCCTTCCACCTTAGCCTCTCAAAGTGCTGGGAGTATAGGCATGAGCCACCATGCCCAACCATTTTTGGGTTTGTCTTTTTTTTGAGATGGAGTCTCTCTCTGTTGCCCAGGCTGCAGTGCAGTGGCGTGACCTTGGTTCACTGCAACCTCTGCCTCCTGTGTTCAAGCAATTCTCCTGCCTTAGCCTCCCAAGTAGCTGGGATTTCAGGCGAGTGCCAGCATGCCCAACTAATCTTTCTTTTTTTTGAGATGGAGTCTGGCTCTGTCGCCAAGCTGGGGCACACTGGCGTGATCTTGGCTCATTGCAATCTCTGCCTCCCAAATTCAAGCAATTCTCCTGCCTCAGCCTTCAGAGTAGCTGGGACTACAGGCACACAGCATCACACCCAGCTAATTTTTTGTATTTTAGTAGAGAGGAGTTTCACCATGTTGGCCAGGATGGTCTTGATCTTCTGACCTTGTGACCCACCCGCCTTGGCCTCCCAAAGTGCTGGGATTACAGGCATGAGCCACTGTGCCCAACCACTTTTGAGACCCCCAAGGTCTCAAGCCATCCCTGGGCAAAAAAACAGTAACTGGAGCTGGGCATGGCATGCACCTGTAGTACCAGCTACTTGGGAGGCTGAGGCAGAAGAAACGCTTAAACCTGGAACGCAGAGGTTGCAGTGAGCCGAGATTGTGCCACTGCACTCCAGCCTGGAGACAGAGCGAGACTCCGTCTCCAAAAAAAAAAAAAAAAGGCTAATTGCTCATTCTCAACCATAGCCACTCTGAAGGGTGTAGCAAGCTCCAACATGAGATTCTGCCAGAAAGCCACTGCTCTATGCTAACTTGCCTAGAACTGTGCCAACTGTGGCTATATCTGAGGGGGTCCCAGACCACTGCCATTCTTCCTTTCCCACCCTCACAGCCGCTCACCAGCACCACGACCCGGGCCTGTGGCTGCCGCTCATTCACCAGCTGCACAATGGCCTTGATGCCACCAGTCACCTGCTCTGCTGTGTGTCCGTGGTTGTTGGTGCCCACCCAGACCACCACAATCTGTGGAAAGAAAGACATGAAGCAGCGGTGAGGGGGCAGGCAAAAGATGTTTTAGAGCCCCACCCAAGCCCCGCTCACCTTGGGCCGGATGTGTTCCAGCTCCCCATTCTCCAGCCGCCACAGTACATGCTGTGTGCTGTCGCCACCGATGCCAAAGTTAAGTGCATGCAGAGGAGAGAATAGCTCCCGCCAGATCTGTGGGTAAGAAGTGGTATGGGCACAGGGGCACTGTCCACACAGACAATGACCCTCTGTCCAAGTGTTAACCAAATGCCATATTGAAGAACCTTACTTCATGGAAGCAGTCTTTTAAAATTTCACCTGGAGCATAGTCCAGCATGGCTGAACCTCACTTTATAGAAATTGATTAAGGCCGGTCAAGGTGGCTCACGCCTATAATCCCAGCACTTTGGGAGGCCGAGGCGGGTAGATCACGAGGTAAGGAGATAGAGACCATCCTAACACAGTAAAATCTCGTCTCTACTAAAAATACAAAAAAAATTAGCCTGGTGTGCTGGCACGTGCCTGTGGTCCCAGCTACTCTGGAGGCTGAAGTGCAGTGACGCGATCTTGGCATACTTCAACCTCTGTCTCCCAGGCTCAAGTGATTCTCCTGCCTCAGCCTCCTGAGTAGCTGGGACTATAGTCATGTGCCATTATGCCCAGCTAATTTAGTATTTTTAGTAAAGACATGGTTTCACCATGTTGGCCAGGCTGGTCTTGAATTCCTGACCTCAGGTGACCCACCTGC